CCAGAATTCCCCAGCCAGCATTCGCTGGCTGGGGAATTCTGGGAGTTGAAGTCCGGACATCTTCAAGTTGCCAAGGTTGAGAAACACTGCACTAGTATATAGATAGACGTCAAGCCCCACCCTTCCTCCACTAACGTCACCTAGTTAGGTCACAAAACGCCTGGAAGAAAAGCACAAAGCTCAGAGGGCCCTCAGGGATCCCACAAAGAGAAGCACGGCTGCTATTCTCAGCCTCCCTCCTTCTTCCAATAATTTACACACAAATAGAACCATTCACAACGTTCAGTATCGGGTTTTTCAGAGCAGCAAAATTAACCCAGATTCCCCAGCATACTTCCTGAAAGGCATCTTGACAAGAACTTTCTAACCATAAATTAAAGGTAGTTATGCTGGCCCACGTGGAAGGACAGATGTCGGAGAGGGAACCGTGATAAATACGAAGTCTTCTTGTTCTCTTATCGATGGCCGTGAACGGCATCAAGAATGAAAGGGACTCTGCCAGGAAAGCTCGCCAACAGGACTTACATTGAATTTAATCGTGGTGCCGGTAGGGACGGTGGAAAAGCTTGTAGCCCCAAAAAGGGAGCCAGATGTGCCCCCAAAGGGGTTGGAGGCTGTGTTCGTGGTGCCAAACAACCCTCCGCTGCTGGTGCTTGTCCCAAAATCTGTGTAAAAAAAATTTAAATTAAAATAAATGAAAGCCCTGTCCAAATGTATCACAGATAAAACTAAACCTTCTTTTATTCAGAGATGGGGGCAATTTCCCTGCCCATTTGTCTTTCCTTAAGGCAAGAACACAGGGGGAGAGGAGGGCCACCTTTTCTGTCCTCTGCAGGGAGTTGAGGAAGAAAAAGGGTTCCACCCAACAGCTTCCGTGTTTGCTAAGAATCCATCATCCGGAAGGGAATTCTGCCTTCCAAAAAATCCCCCTAGAGGATTTATTTATTTATTTATTTATTAGGCTTATATACCGCTTCATGGGGCTTTCAGCCCTCTCTAAGCGGTTTACAGAGTCAGCATATCGCCCCCAACAGTCTGGGTCCTCATTTCACCCACCTCGGAAGGATGGAAGGCTGAGTCAACCTTGAGCCGGTGAGATTTGAACCGCTGAACTGCAGATAACAGTCAGCTGAAGTGGCCTGCAGTACTGCACCCTAACCACTGCACCACCTCGGCTCTATGTAGGATGTAGGAACCAAGGGATTTTGGGGGCCCAAAGGGAACAGGCTGGAGAAGGGGAAGAAGCCTGTTTTATTCCTCCTCTTGCCGATGCTTAGTCCCACCCAATCTGCAGGGAAGGGCCGGAGGCTCTTGGCAGAGGTCTCAACGGAGTTCAGGTCTGCCGAGGCGACCAGCAATAAAACCAAACCCACCTTCTCTGATCAGCTGAGGGCGCTGGTTTTGTTCTAGTTCCTCCTGCCTGACCCAAGCGCGATGAACCTTACAAACCTCACTTCCCCAACAGGGCCCAAGGCTCTTCCTTCAAAGGGGCCTCCTTTGCTCAGGGCCACAAAGCAGAAAGGGCACCACGCACAGGGCGTTTCCAAGCCCCTTTAGAGAGGCAGCCATACTCACTGCCGAAGCCCACCGGCTTGTTCTGGGCGAAGGCATTGCTCTGGGTTGAGAAGAGGCCTCCCCCTGTGCTTGCGGTCCCAAACAGCCCGCTGGACGTTCCGGTGGACGTGCCGAAGCCAAAACCGGTACTAGTGGACGAGGTGGCTGGCTGGCTGAAAGTACTTGCCCCAAAGAGCCCTCCTGCAACCGAAAAGAAGCCCTCGCATCAGGCACCCGAGAGGAGAAGGGGGCACAAAAGCCGGAGGGAGGGGGACTCTGTGTACCTGGCTTGGCCTGAGTGCTACCGAAGAGTCCTCCGGCATTGTTATTGGATCCGAAGGCAGACGTCCCGAAGGCTCCCCCGCTGGTCGCCCCAAAGCCAGTATCTGCAAAGCGGGAAGAGGGGGCATTGGGGTGGGGAGGGGTACAAAAGGGTTGAGGTTCAGCTGCTGTCATGGCCACTTTCAGCCCAGAGTGCAAGGTTTTTTTTTTTAAATAGCAGAGGGTGGGTTTGCAAGCCCCATCTTTCTAAATGCCGAGGCTCCAGGGATCATTAAGAAGTGCATTAAGAAGGGGCAAACCGCTGGAGGGATTCCCACATTTAAAAAACAGAACCTTACATAAAACACTTTCAACTCAGTTCCATCCCACCCACGTTCACGTTATACAAATAGCCCTCAACTTACCACCTCAACTGAGCCCAAAATTTTTGCCGCTAAGCAAGACAAAGTGAGCTTTGTCCCGTTTTACTACCTTTCATGCCACCGTTAAGTGAATTACTGCAGTTGTTAAGTTAGTAACACAGCTATTAAACGAATCTGGGTCCCGTTGACTTTGCTTGTCAGGTCACAAAAAGGGATCACGTGACCCTAGGACACTGCGATCGATCGTCATAAAATATGAACCGGTTGCCTAACACCCACATTTTCATGGGAATGCTTCAATGGTTGTAAATGTGAAAAATGGGCATAAGTGACTTTTTTTCCAGTCCTGTTGTAACCTTGAACTGTCATTAAGCAAACTGTTTTAAGTTGAGGACCACCTGTAAAGAAAATATTCTACATTCCATGTAAGACTGCCAAATAATATTATTCTCTATATCAGGGGTGTCCAAACTTGGGAACTTTTAAGACTTGGGGACTTCAACTCCCAGAAGTCCCCAGCCAGCATGGACACCCCTGCTCAGAGATAACCCACTATTAAAATTTAAAGCATGTTGTTTAAGCATTTCCATCAAAGAGGTGGTTAAAGACAGAATTAAAACCTCAAACCATCATTCAAAGGAAGAGCATGCTAGGCAGGGAAAAGAATGACCCGTCTGGGCCAAATTGTCCCTCCCCTTCTCGGTCCACTTACTCTGCCCGAAAGTCGAAGTTGTCCCAAATCCTCCTGTGTTGCCGCCAAAAGGCGTTCCAAAAGATTTATTAAACATCTTGAAATTATTTCAATGTCTCAAAACCTGAAAAAGAAGAAATAAAAAGTTTAGACAAACTCAAGATTGTATTAGGTTGCTCCCCAACCCCAGGAAAACGACAGTTTAATGTCATGAATGCATGTGAAGCAAGCTGGATTTTAAAAAAAATGTTGGACACCTTAAAGCAGTATTTCTCAACCTTGACAACTTGAAGTCCACAGGACTTCAAGTTGCCAAGGTTGAGAAACACTGCCTTAAAGTATAAGAGAAAAACTTGAGAGGACAAACCTGCTTAACCCATGTCTGGCTCAGATTCACAAAAGCGTAAAATAACAGACTAAGGAGGGTCTTGGAAATAATGACCGTAGGGTACGGTTATTAAAAATAAAAGGAATTGTTATAACATACAAGCATTAAATGGGTGGCCTCATTGGTTTGGTTTTGGTTTGGTTTAATTTTATTTGTATGCCGCCCTTTTCCCTGAGGGGACTCAGGGCGGCTCACAACTCAAAAAGGGGGGGGGGGGAAATACAAACGGAATAACAAAAACATAAAAAACCATACATAGCTAAAAGCACAACCATCATAGCATTCGAAGTGGGGCGGTGAGTCTTTAGCCCCAGGCCTGTCGGAACAGCCAGGTTTTAAGGGCTTTGCAGAAGGCCTGGAGGGTGGTGAGGGTTCGAATCTCCATGGGGAGTTCGTTCCAGAGGGTCGGAGCAGCCACAGAGAAGGCCCTCCTCCGGGTAGTCGCCAGTCGACACTGGCCAGCTGATGGAATTCGGAGGAGGCCTAGTCTGTGGGATCTAATCTCATTGCAATAAACAAGGATATACGTCCAATTTTGCAGCCATGAAGATTGTTGGGATGAGCAGGCACAACGACAGCTGACTGAAGCCTGGGAAATGGCCCCTCCTCCTCAGTCAACGGGAGTGCTGATTTATCACCAGCTTGTCAAGTAGTAGGAGGGGAGGGCTTGGAAGCACAAGGAAACAACAGCCAAGAACTTAATAGCCAGGCACCAACACCCCAATCAACATCTAAAAGCCACACACAACAGGCACCATATAAATACCACAGACTGAACAGTCCAAAGCGTCCCCTCTGGTAGAGGAGAAATTCTCTTGAGGATGGGCTCCAGCTGGGAAGACTAAACCTCTGGTCTTGGCTACCGAACCAGAGTATTAAAGTCATAAAGAAATGACATATACGATCTCTTTAGGACAAAAGTTATTTCCATAATGTCACGAATACTTCTCTTTTAGACTCAAGACGGAAAGAGACCTACATGCCAATCTCTTACGTTGTAAAATATTGTAGTGTATAATGATGCAAGCAGCTATAGGTCTTATTTTTATTAGCGTTGTCAACCTTCCCCTGCCATTCACAATGTTTCCCCAAAATCTCAGCCAATCATATTTGAAAGACCCTCCCCATGCACGGAGGGGCCACCCAGATGCTACTAGAAAATGTCTTTATAAGGCACAATGGAGCAGGCCTGGCCGATTCTCCCCAGCCCAGATTAGCCCATCAACCAAGCAGAAGCAGCTGAATGTATTTCATACCCAGGCTTTCTACACAGAATAAACTAGAACCTTCTGGTTTTCCTAGTTTCCTTTAGAAAGAAAAAATTAACTGGTCCAATTGCAACATGGAAATGCCGGCGTCTGATCTCCGCACAGGCAAGTCCAAAGAATTCAACTCCAACACGCTGTCGACATCTGGTAAGAGTCTGCTGATGATTAGCAAGGGTCAGTTTGATTTGCCCCCAAAATTAATGCAATTAGGAAAGCAGTTAAAGCCTGATTGTTACAGCGTCCCTGAGAAGGGATGACTTAAGATTCCTCCTGGACACAGGCTGTTTCTTGGAATAGGAAAATTTATCCCAGAATTGCTAGAGTTGCCTCCCCCCCCCCATACTCTTTGATTTTGGTAAGATTATTAACTGATTAACAAGTGGTATGTCATATAAACCTATAGCAAAATTAAAGTGCTATACTCTGCTGAAATCAGCTGTTTTGTCCAGTTTAGTTGCATCAGAAGTCGACTTAGAGGTTAAGGCACCAGGCTAGAGTCCGGAGATGGTGAGTTCTAGTCCCACTTTAGGCATGAAAGCTGGCTGGGGGACTTTGGACAGCCAATTTCTCTCAGCCCAACCCACCTCACAGGATTGTTGTTGTGGGAAAAATAGGAGGAAGAGGGCGCAATAGGTGTGTTCGCTGCCTTATTTATAAAAATTATATGTATGTGTGTATGTATGTGTGTGTATGTATGTGTGTGTATGTATGTATGTATGTGTTTTCTGAGGTTTTCGCGGGTGTTAGTATGTAGGTCTCTAGTTGTTCGGGTTTTCTCCCGCGTAGAATTGGAGATGTCTTGGCGCTCGCTAGTTATGCGACCCCCGAGCGCCAAGACATCTCCAATTCTACGCGGGAGAAAACCCGAACAACTAGAGACCGTATGTATGTATGTGTGTATATGTATATATATTTAAAGTCACAACCCCCGGTATGCCCAAACATGGGAGGAAGGTCAGTTCGATTCCCAGCAAGGGTATGGCTAGCTGATGAGAGCTAAATAGCTCTCATCAGCTAGCCATACCCTTACTGGGATTCGAACCTGTGCTGTATTACATCTTAGGCAGATGTCTTAGCCATTAAGCTAAGCCATATATATATATGTAATTAGTGTCACAGCTCCTGGTATGCCCAAATATGGCTAGCTGATGAGAGCTAAATAGCTTGAAATAGATCTATACTAGTCTCCCTTTATTTATTTATCAGCACAAATACAACACACATGTATGTATGTATGTATGTATGTATGTATATATATATATATGTATATACATATATAC